CACAACAGCGGCGATGGTGACGCACCGCACCAGGTACTCATTTCAGGCGGAGACGGGTTCAGATCATCTTCACCGGTGTTGGCCGTGAGCAGGAATTAAACTCGGTTAGCCGGGTTTATAGCACAGCGCGCTAATCGCTGTGCCACTGCTCCCCACAAAGACACCCCATATAGCCTTAATAAACTTTTGAGGCAAGTGCTGTTAGTGATCACCTATAAATGCCGGCAGTGGGGAGAAAACACCACTCCCAGGTTCAAGGCATCAAGTCTGCATCAACTACACAGTGCTTGTGGCAAACATGCAAACAAACATGGCTCTGATAATGTAAACATTGTCTTTGCAGCCGATTGGCCTACACAGCTGTCTTTATGGCCTTGTCTCACCAGTACAACGACATACTTTTTGGTGCTTTCGGTAAAGTCACGTGGAGAAAAATAAAATAAATCACCAATTATTGTATTTTATACCCACGTGACTTTACCGAAAAAAACAAAGAGTTTGGATTTCTGCAGTCACGAAAGCTTCAAATCAAGATAGTGCAAAGACAATACAAGGATCGGTGCACTTAAAGCTCGGGTCGAGCACTGTACCTTCTTGCTCGAATCAAGAATTAAGAAAATCAGAAGAGGCTTTACCCTTTCTGGCAATAAACAACCACACATACTCGCCACAAGTCCATGTGGGTTCATGCAGACTTGATGCCTTGCAAAACGTATTATCTATTTGGTGCTTAACACAACTCCTGTTTTATTGCCTGAAATAAAGCAAAAACTAAACTACCGGCAAAAAAGGTCGCCATAGACACACACCGAGGAGCCAGTGAGGGCCGCTCGACTCTCCGAGGGCCGGGTTCTCACCTGGATCAGGTGGAAGGTCGGAGAGCTCCGTGGTGCAGGAAAGAGTCGCGTTTCAGTCGTCCTCATCGAGCAGTGCCACCTGTGTACGGACACACGAGGTCACCCAGACAAAGCTTACCCGTCTAGCCCATGGTAAGGCTTATCATAATCGAGGTTTTTTTTGCGGTTACAATCGTGTAAATATCAACGATGTTAGCTGACTCTCTGAGTTGTCTTTCTAGGTTGTATTGACAGGATGGATGTTCCTAGCTCGCTCTGTCCCAATGCATCCTTGACAGGCTAATCTCGCCACAATACAATGGCCACTCCACAGCCTCAGGGAGGACGATATCGAGCCCTGCCCTCTTACCCTGAGTTGTCTTTCTCTGTGTCTCTGTGTTGTGTCCTCTCTGCTTGTGTGTCTGTGTGTCTCTGTGTTGTGTCTCTCTGCTTGTGTGTCTGTGTGTCCTGTGTTGTCTCTCTGCTTGTGTGTCTGTCTGTGTGTCTCCGTGTCTGTGTTTTGTCTCTCTCTCAAATTGTGTTCTACCTGATGACGACTGCTTGTATTGCAATCGAAACGTCGTATTCTATTATTTAATTTATTTTCTTTCTACATGACTTCGCCAAAAGAACCAAAGAGTAATTCCTGCAGTCACGAAAGCTTCAAATCATATATGGTCCGAGTTTGGGTTGCATTGAGAAAGTGCCACGACCTGTGACTTGCCTTTAATATACCTGTGTTTCGCTATGGGTCTCAATGTGTCTCTGTATCTCTATGGGTCTCTATGAGTCTCTATGTTGTATCTCTATGGGTGTACTATGTGGTCCATAGTTTGAGTTGCATGCCCACAATCACACTCTCTCTCTCTCTCTCGCTCTCATCTTCTCTCACCGCTCCAGCTCCAGCTCGACCTCCAGGCAGGAGCAGCAGACCCCGTGTGGTGGCGCCCAGGAGTGGCGCAGGCAGCGAATGGCGAACCACGCCGCGTAGCCACAGAAGCCCATGCTCAGCAGCGCCGTCACCAGCAGGGCCGCGTTGGCGCCACGCGCCAGCTGGTCGTGTGCCGTGTACTGCGATTGGTCAGCGAGGTGGCAGCGGTGGCACCCGTGTCATTCACAGCAGCAGCAGTCTTTTTTACATTTTTTTTATTTCATTATTATTTTTCAATTATATATATAATTTTTTTCCCTTCATTGATTATAATTTATGTTCTTTTATTATATTTTATTATTATGAAATTTGTTAGTATAATACATGTATTTTTTTACCAGGTAAGGCCCCACCGAACTATCCGTAGCTCTTTTTCACACAAGTGACCTGGCCATCACAAACGATAGGTCAACAAAAGCGGCTTCTCATCATCGTCGTCATGTAGACATTTATAGCCTGCAGCGATTCCCATGTGGGGGGAGGGGGTGGAACCTGGAGTACACGGAGAAAAATTCACGCGACCACGGCGAGAGAGAGCGAGAGAGACACGCAAACCCCAAATATACAACAGGAATCGTCAGGGTTGGGGTCGAAACCACGACGACCTACTGCACACCCAGGCGAGGGAATTAACATCTCACCACCGTGGAGCCCATTGACCAAGCGACCTCTCTATTTTATTTTGTTTCACCACCGCACAACGGTGCCGTGCCGAGCCAGCCCGGGTTGTTTTTTTCCACTGCGGTGGCCAAGCCGTGCCGCGAGCGAGCGTCCGCTCACCTCGTTGAAGACAAAGATGTCCATGCTGGAGTGGATGTAGGCGAGCTCGTCGCGGCTGAAGTGCAGCGTGAGGGCGGCGTAGACGAGCACCGCGAGGCAGGCAGCCGCGGCGCTGAGGGAGCCCAGCAGCCACGCCAGCACCTACACACACACACGCGCGTACACACACACACGTACACACACGTACACACACGTACACACACGCACACACGCGTACACACACACAGGCGTACACACACACAGGCGTACACACACGCGTACACACACACACGCACAAAGATCACCTGTATAGCCTGTATAGATTGTTGGGGCAAGTGCTGTTAGCGAGCACCTATGAAGACAGGCACGGCTCACGTGGGGGTGGGTGGCCAACACCACGCCCGGCCGCCTTTGTCTCCCCAGTGGCGATGTTTACACACCACGCCAGGTACTCATTTAAGGATGAGTCGACCTAGAGGAGGCCCAGGACCGGTTCAGATAACCATCAATGGCGTTGGCCGTGAGCTGGAGCCGAACCTGGGTTACTGGGTTCAGAGCGACGCGTGCTAACCGCTGCGGCACCGCTCCCCACTATACACACCACCACAACAGCTCCCATTCACCGCTAAGCAGCAGTGACGTCACCGTGGCACTTGTGCCAGGTGCATTTTGAGGCCACGCGAAGTGTCAAAGGCTCGCTGGCAGAAGGTGATGGGACCAACCCAGGTGCCATGGGTTGGCTGATTGAGATGACTGGAAGATGCACCAATTGTGCACCCCAGCGTGCCGACTTTCTGCGTTTTATTTGCCCGGCGCTCTGCTCGCTGTTGTGAGCGTCACTCCTCTGCCCTGCGACTGCCTCCAACTGCTCAGTAGCGTCCTTCACGAGCCTCCTCCACAGAAGCCAATCATGACACCGCTGGTACCATTGTTCGGCAAGTCCACTCAGCTCCAAATCCTTCTGTACCAACAGCCCACATCCCTATTATTTGGCAGTTTCCTGATACGAGTGTCCACCACTCATGAAGCCAGAACCAGTCCATGGGACATACTGTATTCCACACACGTCCAGGCGGTACCGGTACAGTTCCCAATAGGTGAGTGGCAGCCTCTAATCCACAGTGAGTGTTCGAACATTCCACATGGCCACTTGCAGTGACTTTTTGCTGTTTCTGGAGGAACCCTGAGGGTGCAGATTCAGTCTCCTGGCTCTGCGAAATGGGGGTTTGGCCAGGAATACGTCATAAACACCTGTACCCTGCGGGGCGTCCAGCACAAGCTTAGTTTGATATTTAAATCGTGGGTTTGTGGTAATTGAAATTAAGGTGGAGGGGTCTCCAGCCCTGGTAGGTAGGAGATGTTAACTACCTCGCCTGGTATACAGGAGGTCGTGGGTTCAATCCCAACCCTGATGCCTGTTTTATATTTGGAGTTTGCTTGTCTCTCTCCCCATGGTTGCGTGGATTTTTCTACGGGTTCTCTGGTTTTCCCCCTCCACATTTAGAATCAACATCACGTCTTTAGAGCATTTGGTCGCTACAAAATTCCACGTGATGATAGGCCACATAATTGAGCTATCATTTATGATCGCAAGGTTGCTTCTGAAAAAGATCTACATAAATTTCGATTTAAAGCTTTCGTGACTGCAGTGATTCATCTTCTTGGTTCTTTCGGTAAAGTCACGTAGAAGGGAAGTAGTAAAATAATAAAAATAAAACATAATAAAATAATTCTCACGACGTTTCGGCCACAGCGCAAGCAGGGAATGGATTCTTTGCTCCGCTGCATTGGCATATTTTGTTTCTTCCTCTTAGTATCTTTCACACGACGGTCAACGGTACAATGTATAATAACAAATAGTATAAAAATTTATTTTCTTAATACAATGTACAAAGTAATATATAGTATCGTAATTGTATAGTGAATATACAGCAGTGTTATATACATTAGGGTGGGTAGAATAATACATAGTGTAATATTACAATGGATAAGGTGGTTTATAGCAATACAGTATGTAATTTAATGTTGGGTTTGTCTATAGCAATATATAGTACGGTGTAGACTCGTGTGATGTAAGAGAATAAAGTTTAGATGGAAGCATATTGTATTTTTTACGACGTAGAATTGTAATGTATTACTTACTGTTAGTAACTCAGCTTATTGTAGAGTATATTTAATATAATGATGATACTATGTAGTTTATACTTTAGTTGTTTACGTGGTGGATTTAGTTACTGCAGCTCCATACTATTAACACTTCTTCCCTTTATTAATGCTACCCCTATCCTCTCCCTGTGATGCTGCTAATCCTGCATAATCCACGGGCAAAGTAGCACTAATCACATACCTGCATTTCCCATATCCCCTCCGTTGGATGCTGCTAATCCTGCATAATGCACGGACATAAGTAGTACTAATCACATACCTGCATTTCCCATATCCCCTCCGTTGGATGCTGCTAATCCTGCATAATGCACGGACATAAGTAGTACTAATCACATACCTGCATTTCCCATAAATATGCTAAATTCCTCTTGATATGCAAATTATTTTGTCAAGGCGCCCTTCCCCCCCCCCTTCCAACCCAGCTTATATATATGCTCCAAGCACGTGTGCTGTTTCATTCAGACGCTGCCGCCTCGACAGACCTGGTTTCACCTGAGGACGGCTGCTTGCGTTGTGGCCGAAACGTCGTGAGAATTATTTCATTATGTTTTCTTTTTATTATTTTACTACTTCCCTTCTACGTGACTTTACCGAAAGAACCAAGAAGAAAGATCTACATAGCTTAGTGGGCCTTACCTGGTAAAATAGAAGTAAAAACAAAAGTGTTTACATCCAGATCTCCCCATTGGCCACTGTGGTGGCTGTAAGTGGCATTACTCATGACCACCGGCAGCGTTACCGACCGGCATTACCGATGAGATGCAGGTTGTGTTTGCACCTGCCCGGGCCCACTAAACACACCAAAGATCCCCCATGTAGCCTTGAACAGACTATGAGGACAAAGAGGGGACGCCCAGGACCAGTTCAGATAATTGTCACCGGTGTTGGCCGTGAGCGGGAATTGAACTCAGGATCGTTGGCTTCGTAGCACAATACGCTAACCGTTAAAGCTATTACTCCCCATCTGCAATGACACACATGCACGCACACACGCACGTACGTGCACACACGCACGTATGCGCACACACGCACGTACGCGCACACACGCACGTACGCGCACACACACGCGCACGCACCACGTTGATGTTTTTGTTGAAGCCCGCGGAGAGCGCGAGGACTCCGGGCACGGCCAGCAGCTACGGACACAGGGCAGAGGAGGAGGAGCGTCAGGCGCGGCTACGTTCGAGTGAGCGACATCCACACCCACGCATACAACAACGACGATGACGACCACCATCATCAGAGGCTTCGCAATGAGTCTATGGAGAGACACCTCTCTTCAACCGTGAAGGTGCGAGCATAATTGGGGGAGGGCGAGACTCTGGTTGTGGCTGTTGGGAGGGAGGGAGGGAGCATCGACTCCATCCTTCGGCTCATTCGGCAGAGTTCTGGCCGTTGGGCAAGAGGTTGGGCAGTGTGGAGGAGGAGCTTCCTCGACATCTGTGAAAAAGAGCTTCATAGCTCATCGGATTCCTCCAGAATAATACAGATTCTGATTCTCATTCTCTTGCCATCATCTAAGCTCTCTCCCGCCCTCGTCACCTACACATGCTTCGGCTAGAGGGGGGCAGGGCTACCTGAGCGGTGGGCGGAGCTACCAGTGGTGGGTGGGGCTACTCGATGTGGGCGTGAATAACCATTGAATGGGCGTGATGGTGTCAGCGTGTCCGGCTCATAGCCATTTTTCGGGAGAAAGCACTGACGTTTACATCATCATTATAGTCGTCATTGTCGTCTTTGTCAACATCATAATCATCGTCATTATCGTCGTCATCACAATCATCATCATCGTCATCATCACAATCATTATTATCATCATCGTCGTCATCATCGTCGTCGTCATCATCATCATCGTCATCATCACAGTCCCTCGCAACGCGCGCCGTCCCGCTCACCGCGCCGGCCACGATGGGGATGCGTGTCTGCACGAGCGCCGTCTGCCGCCGCATGGCCATGTCGACGAAGCCGAGCGCGAGCACGGCACAGGCGAGCACGAGCTGCACCACGCCCAGCGCCAGCGCCACGGGGCTGTGCAGCAGGAAGTACACCGGGGTGGCAGAGGCGGCGGTGGCGCTCTCGGCCGAGTCGGCGAACCCGCCGAGGTCTTTCCTCCTCCCAGACCGCCCCGCGCCCTCGTCCCTCGCCATCGCCTGCTCCGTCACGTCCGGTAGCCGGGCGGCCATCTCTTCCTTCTGGTTGCCCAGTCGAGGGGTTACAGTGGGCGGGGGGGGGGGGGTCGTTTGCTGGTTGGGGAGGAGGGTGGCTGTGGGAGTCAAGGAGGGGGGTAACATCCAGGGCCGAAGGTCATGAATGGAGGTGAAGGAGGGGAGGATTGACAGCAGAGGGCAAAGGGATTTGGGAATTGGGGAGAGGTTTTAAGGGTGATGGGATTGGAGCGAGGGATTGGGGTGAGCAGTAGAGGTGAAAGTTGATAGATGGATGTGATGGATGAAGGTGAAAAATGTTGGGTTCAGGGTTCAAGGGTGAGAGATTGAGGTAAGGGTTTGAGGGGTCAGGGTTCAGGAATGAGGGGAAGAGGTGAGGATTGTGGATATTGGTTGCGATTGGTTCATAGACACCACAGTCACTATATATGAGTCACAATACTGCGTCACCGCTGCCCACATGCACTTTAGAGGGTAACTACTTCCAACACTGCCCAGTAGCATCCTTCACGAGCCTCCTCTACAGAGGCTGATTTAGTTTTTTCTGGAAGACTTTGCTGTTTTTTCCAGGATTTTTCTGGTGTGTGTAGTCACTTTAAGATGTTTCTTGTTCATGTCTTTGTTTTGTTGCGGTTGCACCCGAGTCAAGAGCGGCATGGCTCACAGGGTTATACCTAATAAATTAAACTGAAACTGAAGCCTGTCATTGGCAAGTCCACTCAGATCTACATTCTCCTGTTCCACATCATTCCATCTTTTCTCTAGCCCGTCCCACGCCCGTTAAGCCCCCACTATCTAGCCAAGCAGAAACTGCTTGGACATGCGGTGGCTGGGCATGCAGGCAACATGACCCAACCAACGCAGGAGTTCACCAAAGGGAATGTGTCCAAATCTTTCAAGGATTTGTGAGCTCCTCACACAATCCATCCTAGCTAAACCCTGGATTGATCGTAGGTAGGCCAACCTGAATGTTTTTAACCTGCGCAGATGTTTATCCAAAGGACTCCATGTTTCGCAAGCAAAGAACGGGGGGGGGGGGGCATGAACGTGGCCAAGAAGACTCCACCAATAGGGAGTGGAGGGGGTAGAGATCAAATCCCAGGAAAGTGCTTTAATTTGCGAGACTGATGCTAAGGTCCCATCTCTTAGTAAGTTCTGCATCAAAGTATCCAACTAATGAGTCAGCGGCAACTCCCAGATCATCAGCATATGCAACATGGTTGACCAATAGGGAGCCATCCCTTTACTGCACCCAGGCATCGATCAGCCTCCCTTTGTATCTATACCAGATGGAAATTCCTCCGGTACAGCCATATAAAGCATCATGAACTACATAGTGTAAAAAATTGCGTTCAATTATGTAGAGGCCTGAGCACATCCCTGTCCCATTCCAATGTGAACAGGGAATGGGTCTGTCTCCCAACCATGCAACTTTACCTGGGCCTGCCCACCATCATGAAGGTCCTGCATGGTTGTGAGAAGAGGGTCATGGACCCCAAAAGCATTTAGAATAACCCAGAGCCCTGGCCTAGTAGTGTACCATAGGCCTTGACGAGGTCAATAGTGTAGAGATGGAGGTCACGTTGAAATTCCCTATACCTCTGCTGTAGCAGATAGACAGAATATGGTGTCAGTGCAGGACCGCCCCAGTCTGCAAGCCTCTCCTCAGTGTGCCTGGCAAGGCGATGAGAATCCTTGCCAGGACTTTTCCCAGTATACTGGGGAGGGAGATGCCCCTGCAGTTGTTACAATTTGTGTGGTCCCCTTTCTTAAAGAAGGGAAGCATCAGGGCATCCTTCCAATCCTGCGGAAGCCATCCGATGGACCAGAAAATAGCAGTGATGTCATATAGGGCAGCCTGCACACAAATACCACCCTCCCAAAAGGAGTTCACTTCAGAGATCGTCTCCGCCCAGGGCTCTATGTGGTCTCACGCTCTGGATCGCCTTTCACACTTCCTCAACAGATGGCAACGTCAGCCAGTCACTCTCAGGGTTTCCTACTTCCTACAATATTTGAGGTATTGCAATCCCAGCAGGGTCAATCCCAAATTACCCATGTTATATAAGCTCAGGATTTCCCCCTCCCCAAAGTCCTGAGCAAACCTGAAAACCCGTTTCTGGGGGTTAGAGCCCTGGCCTGATGTTAAGGACGAGGGCCCGCATTTGTAGTTCCATCACTATGTAGTCCAGCAGATGTTCTTGCTTGGACCCAGCATGCATCCATGATGTTATGTGGATGTTCCGATACCAGAACAATGTGTTTGTAATGACAAGCCCATGGTTTGCACAGAAGTTTAGCAGCATCCTTATCGCTGTTATTGAGCTGGTCTGGCCCATGCCTTCCGATCACTCCAGCCTAGGTGCAGGCATCTTGACCCATTCAGACATTAAAGTCACCCAACAGGATGACTCTATCCCAAGGGGCCACTTTAGCCAGCACATGAGACAGCAGGCTGTAGAAGGTATCCGACTCAACGGCCTTGTCTGCATCCCTCCACTGATGTTCATCTTTGGTTGGGGCGCAAGCCACCACCCCCATTCCTCGCTTCCCGTTGATGGGGAGGCGAGCTCACAGCAGCCTGGGACTCACGGCTTCCTACACCCCGCTTCCATACCCCCTTTCATGCTCTTGTTCAAAAGCAGAGCCACTCCTTGTTGGGCAGCTTCCTGCCCCGAGTGGAAGACTGTCCACCCCTCACGATGACTGGAGCCATAACCAGTCCACAGGACCTCCTGTGCTCCACACAAATCCAGGCACGGGTCCAGTTCCCGACAGAGGAGTGACAGCCATTCGTCCACAGGAGGCATTCGCACATTCCACGTGGCCAACCACAGTGGCTTTTTGTTTTTCGAGGAACTCCGAGGAGGGGGTGGTTCAGAGTCCCAACCAGAATCTATGTTTAGACGATTGGAGGAGGAATCCTATGAGCTTATGAAGCTCTTTTTTCACAGATGTCCAGTTGGGGCATGGGGTCAGAACGTTGCAACAACAAACAATACAAAAACACGATAATAATTCGAAATAGAGAAAAAAGGAATGAAAGTCACGAAATAAGAAATAAATATGAAGTACAGTAGCTTCTCGATGGGGAGGATGGAAGCAGATGATTCTAAATCACGGATAACTCATAAATACCAATTTTCTGCGGATATCGATGCCAAAAAACAATAATATAGGTGTCAATTATGTTTAAGTTTCTATGCCATCACACAGCTTCGTCAATGAAAACTCACAAAATAACTGATCAGATGAATCACTCAAAATGAAGCACAACTGACGAGTTTGATTGGTACTCTTTCGATTTAGAACGAATACTAACGATCTGATCGATGCGCGTGCTCAACAATAACACTTTTCCTGCTCCCGTGCAGAAGATTCGGCCCACTAAGTGGACACGAGCAGAGCCACGCCAATCAACAACAATCAAACTCCACCCGCTCCTGTAAAAACATGCAACTACTGTACTGTAGAGGAGATCACCTTGATTTCGGAATAACTGGAGCAGATATTTGTTTGGTTTAAGCACGTAACTTGTAATAAACATTTCCAAGTATAACAAGGTATAACTGTTTTTAGATTATTGATTTGGGCTTAAGGGAAAATCTACAAGTTCTTAATTTATGTCAAAATCTCAGGTGCACGGTAAATCCGCAAATCGGATAAACCATAAGTGGATAATCGAGTCTACTCTGTATACGTTCTATTTTTCAACAGTCTCGTTTCGCCATGTGGGGTTTGGCAATGGGGCGTCATGAACGCCCATCCCTCTGGGGCCTCCTGCACAAGATAGGTTGGGTGTTTCCACCGTGGTATTTGATAGAAAATAGCAGAGGTGGGACAAAGTCATTGTTATGCAAGTCCAAGTCGAGTCTGAAGTCATCAAATTCATGACTCGAGTCTGACTCGAGTCCAAGTCACATGACTCGAGTCCACACCTCAGAGGTGGGACAAAGTCATTGTTATGCAAGTCCAAGTCGAGTCTGAAGTCATCAAATTCATGACTCGAGTCTGACTCGAGTCCAAGTCACATGACTCGAGTCCACACCTCAGAGGTGGGACAAAGTCATTGTTATGCAAGTCCAAGTCGAGTCTGAAGTCATCAAATTCATGACTCGAGTCTGACTCGAGTCCAAGTCACATGACTCGAGTCCACACCTCTGGAAAATAGTACCAGCTCCTCACACTAAACACTAATCTCGCGACATACACACAGTCTTACACACCCCCTGCTCACGCTCACTTCAGCCTCACCTCAGCCTCACCACACTCACCCCATACTCGCCACACTCACCCCATACTCACCACACTCACCCCATACTCACCACACTCACCCCATACTCACCACACTCACCCCATACTCGCCACACTCACCCCATACTCACCACACTCACCCCATACTCACCACACTCACCCCATACTCGCCACACTCAGGCCAACCTCACTGCCTTCACCCTCACACGACACTACGTCTCACACTTACAACACACGATACACCACATATTACACTATATACTACACGAATACACACCATATTTCACAACACACTGCTATATTTACAACATTACACACTACTATATGCTATGCACGACACTGTTACCACAAACTACTGTACATACAATAGATACATGAACTAACACAGCCACGATCGTCACTCAGTGGCTGTGACGTCATCACAGCGCCAGGCTAGGTGCACTCTGAAGCCACGTGAAGTGTCGAGGGCTCTCACCAGAGGTCACGGGACAGACCCCAGGTGCCATGGGTTGATACACAAAGACCCCCCGTGTAGCCGTCACAGACTGTAGGGGCAAGTGCTGTTAGCGAGCACCTATTAAGGCTAGAACGGCACGCGAGGGGGTGGGTGCCCAGCACCACGCTCGACCGCCTTTGTCTCCCTCGTGGCGATGCTTACTACACACCGCACCAGGTACTCATTTGAGGCTGATTCAACCTACGGGAGGCCCGTGACCAGTTCAGATAATCGTCACTGGTGTTAACCGCGAACAGGAATCGAACTCAGCTCGCCAGATTCGTAGCGCAGCGTTCTAACCACTCGACCAGCGCTTTCCCATACAAAGACACACACACACCCATATACGTACACTGACTACACACATGACTGAAACACACACATATAGCGGGCACAATAAATACATTTTAAGGGGCCGTCCATAAATGACGTCACGCAATTTTGGATGATTTTTGACCCCCCCCCCCCCCTCGTCACACATCGTCACAAATGTATGACCCCCCCTTAGGTGCGTGACGTCATTTATGTACGGCCCCTAACCACTTAATGCGAATTATATGGGTTTTTTTTAACCCACATCACCCGTGCCAGGCTAGGTGTACGGACACTACTACAAAGACCAACGCATCTCCTGGAAGTACTTACGTCACCTTTACACTTCAGCCACTTGAACATAATATAAATAATTATACAACGTTTAAAAGTAAATAAATCAGTGAGACAACAATACACACGCGAAATAAAGACCCCCACCGTATAATCTAAACAGACCGTTGGGGCAAGTGCTGTAAGCGAGCACCTATGAAGGCTGGAAAGGCACACGAGAAGGTGGCTGGGCCAGCACCACGCCCGACTGCCTTTGTCTCCCTCGGGGAGGCCCAGGACCTATTCAAATAATCGTCACTGGTGTTGACTGTGAGCAGGAATCGAACTCGGCTTACCCGGTTCGTAGCGCAGCACGCTAACCTTTGCGCCACCACTCCCAACATACACACACACAAACCTGTACCACACACACATACCTGTATCACACACGGACCTGTACACTCACCTGTACACTCACTCACCTGCATACACCTGTGGTTGTCACGAACCAAATGCCTAAACCACAAATCTCTTCCGTGACTGACGACATCAACACACGGACGCACGCGCATAGTTACACATCCATACACGCACACATACACACTCACACACCTACACACACACATACACACATACACATATAGACCTACACACATACAAACACAATAACACACATATACATATACACACAGATACAGACCTACACACCTATACACATACACACATATACATATATACACACACATACACAAAGACAAAGATCCCCCGTATAGCCTTAACAGACTGTAGGGGAAAGAGCACCTATGAAGGCCGGAACGGCACACGAGGGGATGGGTGGCCAGAACCACGCCTGACCGCCTTTATCTCCCCAGTAGCGATGTTTACACACCACACCAGGTACTCATTTGAGGCTGAGTCGATCGAGGGGAGGCCCTGGACCGGTTCAGATAATAGTCACTAGTGTGGGCCGTGAGCGGGAATCGAATCCGGATCGCCGGGTTCATAGCGCAGCGTAGCGCTAACCACTGCACTACCGCTCCCCATACACGCATACACACACACATACACACATACACACACATACATACACATACAGACACATACAGACCTACATATACATACACACATACACACCCACACACATGTACAGAGCTTTCCACATACACACCTAGACGCACAGGCACCATCACACAGATACACAACGCACACTCCTGTAACAACACCTGTAAACACAGACACGTAACCAAACACACACATACTTGTTCACACACAAATACATTAACATACAAAGACATACATACGTACATAAACATACAAAATATAAAGATGCCCCGTACAGCCGTAACATACTTTTGGGACCAGTGCTATTAGCGAGCACACGAGGGGGTGGGTGGCCAGCACCACGCCCGACCGCCTTTGTCTCCCTCGTGCCGATGTTTACACATCGCACCAGGTACTCATTTGAAGCAGAGTCGACCTAGGGGACCGTGAGTGGGAATAGCAACGCGAACAACTACACTACTGTGCTCTTTGGTTCTTTCGATAAAGTCACGAAGGTAGAAAAATAAAATAAAACAAAAAATAATAAATCACAACTACACGACTGCTTCCCACTATAAATCAGAGATAACCCGAAACACATACAACTTTACACACAGACATGTAAACACACACATCAACACAGATTGTAAACATACACACGTAGCTATAAACAGACAAACACACGCCTTCTAAACACACACACACATACAGCTACACACAGACAGACTGTAAACACGCACAGATTGTAAACACATACATTGTAAACACACACACAGATTGTAAATACATAAACACACAGACTGTAAACACACACACATTGTAAACACAAACACACACACAGCTATAAACACAGACGTAAACACACAGAACGTAAACACACACACACATTGTAAACACACATACAGCTATAAACAAAGACAAAGATCACCCGTATAGCCTTAACAGACTGTTGGGGCAAGTGCTGTTCGCGAGTCGCACCTATGAACGGCACACGAGGGGGTGGGTGGCCAGCACCACGCCGGACCGCCTTTGTCTCCCCAGTGGCGATGTTTACTTAACACCGCGCCAGGTACTAATTTGCGGCTGAGTCGACCTAGGGGAGGCCCAGGACCGGTTCAGTTAATAGTCACTGATGTTGGTGGCCGTGAGCGGGAATCGCCTAGTTCGTAGCGCTGTGTGCTAACCGCAACGTCACCGCTCCCTACTCCATGCAAAGACACACACACCTGTAACACACACACACCTGTAACACACACACACACCTGTAGACACACACACACACACCTGTAGACACACGCACTTACCCCTATGCAAATATTCATACGCACACGTATACAGGCACAAAGACAAAGACCCCCCGTGTAGCCCTAACAGACTGTTGGGGAAAGTGCTGTTAGCGAGTATCACCTATGAAGGGCGGCACGGCGCACGAGGAGGTGAGCGACCAGCAGCACGCCCGGCCGCCTTTGTCTCCCCAGTGGCGATGTTTACGCGCCACACGGACATGAACACACACACACGGCACCTACCTGGGAACTCGAGTGACGTCACATCCACCACAGGTGTGGCAGCACTGGGTCACGTGACGCAGGTACGTGATGTCACGACGGGTTGGTGAGGAATGCTCACCCCCCCACCACTCGCCATGACTCACCCCACATCACTTACCATCACTCACCACCAACTCACCTTATCACCGCTACCCACCACCATCACTTACTATCGCTCACCACGTTACTCACCACTTTCCATCATTCACCACATCACTCACCACACGCTCACCCACATCACTCACCCACACGCTCACCACCGCTCACCACTGCTCACCACGCACCTGCGGGATTTATAGGTGCACAAGCCCTCAGGCAACTCCACTGCTGGATGAGTGCGTGTGCATTGTATTTTGTATTCCCCCCACGCTGCCAGCAACGGGGTGGGTCGCGTCCACTCGATGCGCAGTCGCCTGTGCGTCGAGCTGCTGTCTCTGAAACCGGTTCGACTCGCTGCGTGTCCGTCGCCACACCTCGAGATCATTGCCGAGAGCTGTGGTGATGCATTTGTCCGCCTACTCACCCAGACCCACGCAGCCACACTCACCCAGCCTCACTCAGCCACACTCACCCACCCACACTCACCCACACTCCCCCAGCCTCACCCAGCCTCACTCAGCCACACTCACCCACCCACACTCACCCACACTCCCCCAGCCTCACCCAGCCTCACTCAGCCTCACGCACCCACACTCACCCACACTCACCCAGCCTCACCCACCCACACTCACCCAGCCTCACTCAGCCACACTCACCCACCCACACTCACCCAGCCTCACGCACCCACACTCACCCTCACGCACCCACACTCACCCACACTCACCCAGCCTCACCCACCCACACTCACCCAGCCTCACGCACCCACACTCACCCACACTCACCCAGCCTCACCCAGCCTCACGCACCCACACTCACCCACACGCACCCACACTCACCCACACTCACCCAGCCTCACTCACCCCACACTCACCCACAGTCACCCAGCCTCACTCAGCCACACTCACCCACACTCACCCAGCCACACGCACCCACACTCACCCACACTCACCCAGCCTCACCCACACTCACCCAGCCTCACTCACCCAGCCTCACTCACCCACACTCACACACACTCACCCAGCCTCACTCACCCACACGCACCCAGCCACACTCACCCACACTCACCCAGCTTCACGCAGCCACACTCAAAATGTCACCCCCCCCCCCCCCCCAATATATTTCTATAAAAAATTGCTATGCTATGTAAATAAAAACAACAATTTGCTAAACCTTGGCCCCAATATCTGGACTTGTCTTCATATAAATCAATGCGTATATTTCTGTTTATATGATTGTGGTTATGGTTTTACTTTATGAATCCCTAATCTCTTCCATTACATACAATGAAACAAGAAATGGTAAAACAAAGTAAAAACAGAGCACTGTAATACAATACACCATTAGACATTATTGTAAAAAAAATAGTCCATCCCATGTGTTAGTGAATTTTTTAATATTTTAGGCAGGAAATTAGTTTAAATTTTTTGGGGGTTGGGACCCTCAGACACCCCTATGTTGACTCCATGGCTACGGCCTTGCCTGACCCTCTTGTCCCTTGAGCGGTTGAGGGTCGTCCAATATTTTACGTGGCAGCTTGAACCCTCGTGGGACTTCACCGCTGCGGTTCGTTTACCGGGTTTGCGATTGTTGACGTTTGCAGTCCAACCCAGCAGTGTCGTCGATGGGAGACCCTCGGACGGGTTTGCCGAGGAATCCATCCCTTGAGCAAGAGACGGTTCGCGCACGTTCAGATGCGCTTCTGCGGCCGTCTGGAACGCTCTTCCTTCCGATATTAGAGGCCCCTGGGAGCTGTGCACTTTTAAATCATCGTCTAGATTAGGGGTGGGGAACGTCCGGCCCGCGGGCCGTACAAGGCCCGCGAAATCATTTGGTGTGGCCCTGCCAAGGCAACCGCAGGTGGGACTCGAAATTCAATCAATCTCGGAGCAAACCTTGAAAAGCAATTTCCATTAGCAGCAACATCATCAACACCAGCTAACATCATACACCTCGCCAAAGAGAAGCAGTTCCAGTCCATCACATTAGTGGCGAGTTAATTAAATTTCGATTTAAAGCTTTCGTGACTGCAGGGATTCATCTTCTTGGTTCTTTCGGTAAAGTCACGTAGAAGGGAAGTAATAAAATAATAAAAATAAAACATAATAAAACAATTCTCACGACGTTTCGGCCACAACGCAAGCAGCCGTCCTCAGGTGAAAACCAGGTCCGTCGAGGCGACAGAGTCTGAATGAAACAGCACACGAGCTTGGAGCATATATATAAGCTGGGCGCATTGACAAAGGAATTTGCATATCAAAAGGAATTTAGCATATTTGTGGCAAATGCAGGAATGTGATTAGTACTGCATATGCATGTGCATTATGCAGGATTAACAGCATCAAAGGGAGCTGCAGTTAGCTCAATTAAAAAAGAATTAGCTCAATTAAAAAAGAGGGATGACATTGTCATCCTCTCAGCCGACAAAGGCAATGCCACTGTCATCATGGACAAAATAGAATACAACAACAAAATTCAAGAACTACTCAACGATGGCAGCTATACAAAAATAAAAAGAGACCCCACCAACAGCCTCGTCTCCAAAACCAACAACATCATTTCTGCTTCAACCGCATTAATTGATCAGACCAAACAGTTCTCGTTGAAACCTTCTGCAGCCAGGCCACCAAGAATGTACGGCTTGCCAAAGATACATAAAGAAGATACACCTCTTCGTCCCATTGTCTCTACTATCAACTCCCCCACTTACAAACTGGCTCGTTTTTTGTCCGAAATCCTACGGCCTTTCACTGGAAAAACCACCTCTGCAGTACTAAACTCTACTGACCTGGTATCGACAATCAAGGGGATTGCCCTGTCCCCAGACGACCTGCTTGTCAGTTTTGATGTGGTTTCCTTGTTCACCAAGGTGCCTGTGCCTGACACCATCGCAATCATTGAAGACTTGGTTCATCAAGGACTGAATGCTGGGGTACCCCCCCTGGTGAGACACTGCTTAACCAATACATACTTCACCTGGAATGGAACCTTCTACAAGCAAATTGAGGGCACCCCAATGGGCTCTCCCCTATCTCCGGTTGTAGCCAACATCTTCATGGAGAAATTTGAGACGGACGCCATCTAGACTGCCACTCTACGCCCGACCTTATGGAAGAGGTACGTAGACGACACTTTTGTCATCTGGCCACATGGCCGGCCTGCTCTAGACCAATTTCTCGACCACATCAATTCCATACACCCAGCCATCAGATTCACCATGGAAGTCGAAAATGATGGCAAGCTACCCTTTTTGGATGTCCTAATCAAAAGGAGACCTGATGGTTCAATGAGCCACTCTGTCTACAGGAAAGCCACCCACACGGATGCTTATCTAAAACCGGATTCCCACCACCATCCATCCCAGAAGAATTCCCTCATCAAGACTCTATATCATAGAGCCCAATGCATCTCCGACCATGAACACATTTCCAGTGAACTCAAACACGTACGCCAAGCTCTTAAGGCTAATGGTTACTCCGACTACACAATCCGCAAAGCCATCACTCCAACCATCAAGAAGGATCCTGTTGAGGAGCCTTTCAAGACCATCACCTTACCCTACATTGCTGGGGTCACAAAAAAGATCTCCAAAATCCTGATTAAACACAAGATCCAGGTCCGATTCAACACAGTACATAAAATCCGTGATCTGGTCCCGTCTGTAAAAGATGTGGTTCCAGACATACAGTACCCTGGCGTCTACAAACTAAGTTGCCTCTGTGGTAGCAGTTACATTGGAGAAACCAAACGACATGTCTCGGACCGCATCCGTGAACATAAGGCAGACCTGAAACACGGTAGGACAAACATCTCAGCCGTGGCAGATCACTGTTACAATTCAGTGGGCTCACATGACATTGACTTCTCCAAGACAGAGGTTCTCTGCAAGCCATCTGGCTATCATGAGAGATTCGTTCATGAGGCGATCCACATATACAAACACAGAGACAATTTCAACCGAGAAGATGGATTCTGGCTTAGCAATCATTGGAAGGACGTAATAAACCATTTCGGATCTTAACTGATTGTGTTCACGTTTACGGTGACTTTCAGACCACGTTCCACTCACTGGCATGGTGCAGTGTGCAGAGTAATGTATGGTGTCGTAATTGTACAGTAAACATATAGCAGTATGATACACATTAGGGTGGGTAGAATAATACATAGTGTTATATTAAAATGGATAAGGCAGCAACTGCAGCAGCAGCAGCAAGTGCAGCAGCAGCAGCAAGTGCAGCAGCAGCAGCAAGTGCAGCAGCAGCAGCAAGTGCAGCAGCAGCAGCAAGTGCAGCAGCAGCAGCAAGTGCAGCAGCAGCAGCAACTGCAGCAGCAACTGCAGCAGCAGCAGAAACTGCAGCAGCAGCAGCAACTGCTGCAGCAGCAGTAACTGCAGCTCCCTTTGATGCTGTTAATCCTGCATAATGCACATGCATATGCAGTACTAATCACATTCCTGCATTTCCCATAAATATGCTAAATTCCTTTTGATATGCAAATTCCTTTGTCAATGCGCCCAGCTTATATATATGCTCCAAGCTCGTGTGCTGTTTCATTCAGACTCTGTCGCCTCGACGGACCTGGTTTTCACCTGAGGACGGCTGCTTGCGTTGTGGCCGAAACGTCGTGAGAATTGTTTTATTATGTTTTATTTTTATTATTTTATTACTTCCCTTCTACGTGACTTTACCGAAAGAACCAAGAAGATGAGTTAATTAAATGTTTGACCAAATATAACAGGCATATTTTAAAGTTGACAGCTCTACGAATTGGCGGCTTAACGTCACCACCACCATCACCACCACGTGGAGGTGGACAGCAGCAGCCAAACAACCAAAACGCGTCGATTCTAAACAGAGAGGGAAAACCCCGAAGTCCCGGAGAAAAATCCATG